TAAGCGTGTTGATGTGAATCCTCCCCCAAAAAAAAACCTGAAGGAAAAACATTTTTTTTTTTTTTTTTTTTTTTTTTTTTTTGGCCTGAACAGACTGAATTGCACCACTTGAACTGCTGGGGAGGCTGCATCAGCCTTGGTATTGGGTTGTTTCTGTGGGAAATGCAGGCCACAGCGTGATGGTGTTGTGGCACACTACAGCAATTACCCTGAACAGCCCTGGAAGTACCCCAGTGATCCCCAGAATGAAGGCTATGTTTACCAGACATGGAGTCCCTGAAAGGGTTAGCTGATGCCGGCAGCATTTCCCTCAAGGGAGGCAGCTCCTTTGCTAGAAGAAGGGGTTTCAACCCCACCTGAATACATCTGTGTTTCTCATGGGCCTAGGGGCACAAAAACCCAAGAGGGCATGGGTTGAAGGTCCTTGGTGGAGAGTCTGAGATGTGCTGCCCTGCTCAGCCTGAAATGCCCATGGTGGGTATCTGTTTAAACAGGGTCAGTCAGAGGCTGCCAGTCGCTGCAGTTGGGGAGTGGTGGGCACAAGCTGGTGTCTGCCCCGAAGAGGAGAACCCCAGTGTTGTCCCTGGTGACCCTTTGGTAAAAATCATGTTTCAGGGTGTCCCTCTTATCTGCACATCTTCACCCTTGCCACTAAAGACTGTGGAGAAAAGTCTTTCTGCGTGTGACTCAGGCCTCTATTTAGGGTAGGGACATTGCAGATGGATACTGGGGGCAGCTCCTTCACTGCTGCACATGGATATTTCACCACTGGTTTTAGTGGAGCTGCTCTCACTCCAACCTGGTGGCAGCCTGGCTTGGAGTCTGGATCACTCCTAGGACTAGGAAGGTTTTCTCTGGCTCCAGACACACCATGGCACGTCACAAGTTTCCTGGGCACATATTAAAATGCATTTTTTTTTTTCTACCACAGGTGCCAGCAAGATGGTGAGCGAGGCAGCCTGACCCCGTCCCCTTGCCACTGCCCATTTCCCCCCAGCCCAGGGGCTGGTGCTGTGCCACTGGCCAGCTCTGGGTGCTCTGGTCGCCAACTGCTCGCTCACACTTGTCCCTTTGTCCTCCTCCCAGGTGGTGTATTTCACAGCCACATTTCCATACCTCATGCTGGTGGTTCTGCTGATCAGGGGAGTGTCCCTGCCTGGGGCATCCCAGGGAATCCTGTTTTACCTTTATCCCGACCTCAGTCGCCTCGGGGACCCCCAGGTAAGGGCAGAGGGAAGAAAAAAAATAATCTAGTTGTGTGTTTTTTCACAGCTGGGATCTGTCTCACGTCCTTCTGTTGTTGTGCATCACAAAACTGAATTATCAAAGGCTGTGTATCAGAATGGCTGAGCTGTGCTTCATGGGTGCCTGTGACTGTCCTCT